CACGCTTGTCAAAACCGTCAATTTGATGCGTGTATCGAGGTGCCGGTTTGCGAGTATTGGGTGCAGCTTCCCTGCTCGTGCTTTGCCCTTTTCCGCTACCTTGGACATGTGTGCATTCCACGAGCAGTCTTTTGCGATCTCTACTCCGAGGTATGTGTACTGGTCCACTACTGCAATCTCCTCGATCCCCCACTTCCATCTATGTTCTACTGGTTCCTCCTTGTTCTCGTTGCATACCATGACGGCACTCTTCTGAACGTTGGCAGACAATCTCCACTCATCAGAAAACTTCTTCGCCGCGTCAATTTGCAGTTGCAGTCCCTCAGGGGTGTCCGACATACCGACAAAATCATCCGCAAACAGCATTCCTGAAACCGACGTTTCCGTGTCCCCTACTTTTACTCCCTTCCGGACTGCCTCTACGACTTCCAACAGATCGTTGATGAACACCTGGAACAATGTTGGGGACAGCGTGCGACCATGTGGGACCCCCTGCTCGATGTCGAAGAATTTAGACATTTCTCCGTCTAGCATGACCGCGCTTTTCGTACACTCTGTCACCATCTTCAGCACTCTCCACATTTTCCCCTTGACCCCGTATTTGGGCTTGTTTTACAACGTCGTTGCCAAGCGACGAAAACCCGACCCCGACGGCAAACACCGGGGGCGGCGGCTTGGCGCGGTAAAAAAATGTCGAACCCCCCAAGCCCCCCGCAGGTCCGCTGTCTTTACTTAAGTTCCACAATGGATGGTGTTTAAGGATAAAGTTGCTCAGCGAAGGTGTTTTTCAAGTTTTTGTTCAAGTTGCTGGGGCCACAGGAGGTGCCTGACTCACTGCTGATCCACCCCTATCTCCAAAATGAAGCGAGCATAACCACGCTTATGCATACTATGCCCATGTATGCGCGATATCATGCGCAAAAAACAAAAAAAGTATGCACGGGCGGAACTGTGCGTTTCCTAATGCACGCGAAGGTCATTTATGTCGAAAGCAATGCCCGCATAGTAGGTATAAGCCTGTTAGCTGCCGCCACTCATGTCTGCCATCCTAGGCACGCGTGGCCTCTCGCGTGTGTGGGAGCTGTGCTGGGTGTGGGAGCTGTGTGGTGTGTGGAAGGTGTGGGAGAACTCTCTCGAGAAGCTGACATGGCACGTGCCAGGCGGCACAAAATACCACCCGAATGATCTGTGGTCAACAGATGTAGAGCGGCAGGTATCACCGATGATCTGCGGTATACAGATAACGAGCGGCAAATATCACCAGTGATCTGTGGTCTACAGATGAAGAGCGGCAAATATCACCTATGATCTGTGGTCTACAGATAAAGAGTCGGAAATATTATCGACGATCTATGGTCCGTCCCGGACAATTTTTCTATTCGCGTTTTGTTCGATAACTCTTGTCAAAGGAAGAGTTGGGGAAATGAAACAACGATATTCGTGATCGCCTCGTCGAACTTCGTCGATAGCTGCAAAGTTTTTTTTTGAGAACATGCAACGAATTTGGCTAAACGGTCCACGGAATCCCCTAACCATACGATTGATACCACGGAAACCCTTAAATATACCACGAAACGCCCTAGTCATACCACGGAAACTCCCAAGGCTTTCAAGCTCTGCACCATTTGTAACTGCTTTATGTATACTCCTACGCTTTTGGTGTGCACATTATATCGAACACCACAAAAAAATCCTAATGCACTCGTACAAACATTTTTTCATACACACCTGTTTAGATCACATCCATATTTACATTCTCACATGCACACTTTCGCATCCATCGAAGAAATATCTAGTGCTGCAAAATGATCCACGTCGCGCGATGGTTCCATCCTCGTTCCGCTTCCTCTTTGTCGCCTTTTTCTTGGTTCGGCCCAGGTGTGGAGCTTGTGTGTAGCCGCGTGTGTGCTGCTTTGTGGTGTGGTGGATGTATGTATGTCATGTATGTGTGGTATGTGCGTGCGAGCTTTCGTCTCTCACAGCGGCAAGCAAATCACGGAATATCTCATGGAACTTAGTTTTTATGAAAAATCCAAAAGAAAACCCATCCGCGGCATTTCGAGAGGATTTGCCGCACTGTATTTTCAAATCGTGAAATTGGTTTTCGAAAGAGAATGCGAACAAAATGTCCTCCCAGAATCTATTAATGGGGCATAACTTTGTCGTTGCTTTGTATATTAAAAATCGGAAAGGAAAGCCATCTGGCAAATTCCGAGAGTCGAAATCAGGTCTCAGAGTTCTTGTCTGAAAAGTAGACCCTCCGACAGATTGCGAACAACCATTTCTGGATATTTCGAAATAAAAAGTCAAGGAATAAAAAAAAAAAGAAAAACGATCCTTACTTTTCTGCGCCTGGAGACAGGGCTTTTTACGGTGTAATTGAAATTCTGAACAACCACCCCTACCCCGAGAAAAGTGCACCAAAATGCAGGGTGACAAAGTGGATCGGAAGCCCGATCACGAGTGGCAGATATGTTCGGAGCTATCTGCGTCTTTAGATCAAGAATCGGAAATATCACCGATGATCTATGGATTATAGATCACGAGCGGCGAACATTGTACAGATTTATCTGTGTCCATAGATCAAGAGCGGCAGCTACGTTCGGATCAATCAATGTCTACAGATCAAGAATCAAAACATGTACAGATCAATCCGTAGCTGTAGATTTTGGTGATCTGCGACCGAAACGATCTATATAGCGATCTCATCTGTCCGATGTGGGGAAAAATGTGAAAAGTTTGCACAATTTTCTCTACACGCCCTTCATGTGACGAAAAAGTTGCGCAAAAAGTTTGCAATATTTGTTCTCGCCACTAACGTGTCGAAAACAAGTTTCGCGGCACGACTTCCGCCAATCCACGTCAAGCACCTACACAATCGCGCACGATCCCCGCGATAGATGAACGGCCCAGTCAGAGTACAAAAACAACCAGTTGGAATTGCCTGCGATGGCCGCAGCTGTGAGAATACATCAACGACATACGATATGCACACTATATATTTGTCTATTCTACGCCAACAATTCATGCGAATGCGAACATATGATTGAGGTGTTCCTAGCTTCGATTGGAAGGCACAAACAACGCCACGTTTATCACCAACTCGTTCTCCATACCTCCGTCCCTTTCGACGGGTGAAGGCTTCCCGCGCACTCGAATGGCGAAACGCCCCTCACTTTGACCGACAACCGCGGCAAGGGAAGAGCACCCCAGACTTCCTCTCACAAACGCGGAAGGCAAAAAAGAAAAAAAGGTACCTGGAGAGGTCGAGGACCCAAGCCCCAACGATGGAAAGATGACCTCCAGGCGTGCGTAGCTGACCCTCCATGAGTGTCGCCCAGGCACTTCTTGTTCGCGGTCGAGCTCCAGCTACCCTCGGTTGCAGTATGCCAGCGGAATGGCCATAAGTTTTGTTTCGGCGCCGGCGGCAATAGGAGGTTCTCGGCGTTAGGGTTACAGGGTTTTCGTAGGAGATTCACTCGGCAAGGAAGCATTGCAAAGAACACAAACGCAACACTAGATACGGAGCCGCGGGGACTCAAAATCTGCAGAAGGCGATATACCTGCGATGCTTATTGCGGTGGCGGTGCAGTCCATCATTTTGAACTTGAATCCGAGTCACAAAAATACAAAAAGGCTCCTGCGGCGAACGGCCGTTGGGATTCGTGTGCATAGACCTGTGCATACGTCATACATACCTTCCCCCACCGATATGACTTTTCGGCGGTTTCTCTCGGCAGAGTGAAGCAGCAGCAACTAACTGTGAAGCTATCCCCCGCGAGCGTTGTGTAAGCAACGTATTGTGTGGTGGCTGATAGAGACCATGGGGCCGTAGGACCCATCGACAACACATACATGCATGCGAGAAAAAACACCTTGCCGCAAAAAAAAAAAAGGACTCTTCAGGCTGATTCTTTTACGGGCACCATGCGCATGCTTCTCTCCGTCGATGGAGAGTGCGCGCTGCCGAGCAAATCTACTCTGGCAGAGAGCAAGGATTGGAGAGCACGCCCTGACCGGTCTGGCTTCGATCGGTGGCCTAGGGAGCGAGAAATCAGTTGCGGTGTCCTCCCCTCTCTCACAAAAGCGGCTCTTTTTGCTGGCTCGTGGCGGTTTGGCCTGGTTCGGCGTCTCCCATGCTTGGTGCGATGCGATATGTTTTTTTTACGCACGCGTGCCTAGCGACCATCAAAAGCCAGCGTGCAGAATAGCAAGCCCTTCGGCGTAGGGTTGGTGGGGGGACTTGATGGGAGCGATACGTCAATAACTCAGGTCGCACTCGATGATAATGTCGTCTGGGTTGATCTACACCCGAACCCAAGAATACGCCTCAGGAATCCGGCTCACTGTACGAACGGCCGGACTTTTTTCAGGCCGGGTTTTTGCCCATCCTGAAAAGTGAAGCTTTTGGGGAAAGGAATTCAGGTGTAGAAGAATCAGCCTTATCTGTGAAAGAGATGGAGTTGTCGTCTCCTTTGAAGGAGCAAAAAAAAAATGGCTCCTGTGCATTTTCGCCCGTGGCTAAGACTTGTTTCCAGTGACTCCCCCCCTCACACCGAAGCAACAGCCAACAACAAAGCACACAAAACGTAAAGAAAACATTCATCGGGGTTCCGCGAGAATCGATGGTACCCCCGCGTGAGCCCCCAGGATTTGTAGCCCTGTGACACCATCTGGTGCATACTCTTGTCACCGCTGGTACTCCCCACGAAGATGGCCACGTGCTGTGAAACCAGCAGGATACCTTAAGCATGTCATGTTCTACATGCGCAGACATTTGGTTTGTCCTGGTTTGGCGTTAAACCTGAGAAATACCATGCGATGAAAAATGAAATACCTGCTACTTCAAGCTCGTCTTCGCAGCTCTCAGCACCAAACTTCACGCTGCTGTCCACCTTCGAAGAATTGACGAACTCGCTCGAGACTTTGCCAGAGTGGGCTACTTAAGGAATATGAAAATATGAAATAGCATTGAGCAATTGGTGCAATTTTCAATTTTGGATCGCCACTACGAAGGTAGGTCCAGCGAAGCACTCTTATCGCCTATAAGTCGAGCAACGACGTGTCTACCTCCAATTTTGTTTGGATTCCTCTGGAGATACCACCCCCCCCTGGAACTTGAGCGCTGTGCCCACCTCGGTAGTGATCAAACATCAAACAAGCCTTGATCGGTGTCAACGAAAAGGGAACACCTCAGAGAGTCTTTTCAGAGGCGTTGCAATGGTTGGACTCCAGCTACAGCCAGCGTTGTCGAGGAATGACTGCTGGTTGGTCCCTATGGGGCAACAGGCCGCAGGGGGCTCCGTATCACCACAACTATTGTGACGAAAAACATCAAACATGTTTTTTCGCGAGGGCTGCTACCCGGGTGAAAGGTGCTGTGTTCATGCTCCGTCTTGTGTGGTGATCGATGCGCAACGGGAGGTTGAGGGACGCTTAGAAAAATGCGAGCGCAAGAGTCTTTGACAGCCTGAAAAATCTCGCCGCGCCTGCTGGGATCAGTTTGCCATTTATTGGGCCCAGGCGCGGGTAGGTTCGGATGTCCGATAATCCCGTCCAACCCACTGAAGTGACAGCAATGACGAAGGCATCCGCCACGAGCTGTGTTGTCTTTCTCCTCCCAGCGGTGTTGCGTTTCGCTGAGAGCTGCCTCTGTTTCTCCTGGTTTGAATCAAACAACCGCACGCGCGTGTGTGGGAGATCTCCTCCACCACCTTGACAACTCCCGGGGATGGGGGTGAGAATTTCCCATGGTTTTGGGTACAAATGCCGGTGAAGCACGGTCATCTGCCGTCGGGGAACGACCAACTGGTGTGGAGGAGAGTGCCGACTTCTTCTTCTTGCTCAGAAGGCAACAGATGGTCAATCGGTGCTATACAGAACAAGGTTTCTCTATGTAGGCTTCCCGGCAGTTAAGTTTGGGGCTCCTGCATCGTGTTGGAACACGCGGATATTCACAGCCTTTTTTTTTTTTTTTCCGTCCTGGGCATGGAGGAAAGAAAGGTCGAGCTTCGCGCTCCGCGGCTCACTACAGCAGCAAGGATTCGAACCGTCGTTCGCTTCGGAGCGGGTGAAAAACGCCTCAACATCGTGGCATTCTTCGCTGATCGGTCGGTGCCCAGAGATACGTACGTAAGGAGCGAAACAAAAGCTGACCGCATGAAAGCGCTGGGCGGGGCCATTTCGAAAAACAAGGGCTGGGAGGCGGCATTCGTCTGCGTGTGAATACAGCTGCGTCATATGTTCCTTGCTCTTTTTTTCCCACACCCATACCCCTTTCTCATGCGGGTTTTTTCATCCAAACGGTCCATATAACTGGGTAGAATTTGGGCGTGCTCTCCAGACTGTACCTTCACCCGGGTATTTATTCAAACGCGTTTTCAGTACTGTACTTCTATGCTGGGTGGGTGCACCAATACCCCGAAAAAATACCTCGGTATGTACTGGTACGCGTTTGGGTTTTTAACCCTACCTGACAAGCCCTTAGAACGTACTCCTATATGCCATCAAAACCTGGCGAAGCGTCTTGCGAGACCTTCATGAGTGAGTTTGGGCGCGCGCGGGCGGTGGGGCGCCGTGTTTGTGTGTGTGTTTCTGCAAAATGCACCGGCTACGAAAGGGGAAGGCCACAGACGGACGATTTTTGTGGGGAAAACATTAGCGGGATGAACAGAGTCTTGTGTTGTGGTTGCTAGTCACAGATAGATGGGCGGAGGTAAACCTCCGCCTTTTTCAGACGCACAAGCAGGCAGAACAGGCGACGACATGGCCGGTGGCATGGAATCGGGGCTCTGGGGCACTTGCAAACGCGGTCCAACGGCGGCACAAGACGATGGATGAGAAGGGGAAAATCATCCCGCGCTGCGGGCAAAAGGGCCCCAGAACTTGCACGCATTCAGGCCCGACGCGATAAGTACTGCGGTGGGGTCAGGAAAGCGCGTT